TGCATGTAATATTAACAAGACAACACACACACACACACACACACACACACGAGTCTCTGATGCAAGTACAGAATAGAAGCAGTCAAGTCTATTAGAAAGATGGCTTCCACTGGAGGAAAGAGACTACAGTCCTCAGACAAACCACCTGGTGAGCAGGCAGGGCCCTCAACCTCTGGGGATTGCTTGGACCTCTAACTCGAGCCAGGTGAGGGCTGGCTGGAGACACACAGGTTACCCATTTGGGGCCAGCTTTGGCTCTGCCCTGCAGGGGGTGCCATGACACAGGCCACAGGGAGAAAGGCTGAATCCAGACTCCATCAGAGCATTTAAGGTGCTCAGAAACATTCACTTGGAGCATATCTCTCAACTGACTCCACATCAGAGGAGGATGACCCAGACTAGTGGTGTCCCTCTAAGACAGGGGCACTAAGAGAAGTGACAGTTGGAAACAGACTGTCTCACATGGCCTTCTAGCTCCTGCCCTTCAGCAAACTCAAGCTCCTTCCACACCCATTGCTGAGAGTTGGGGAGCAGAAGCCAGAAAGTGGTTCTCTGGGACAAGCTTGAGGAGGATTAAACAATCAATAAACAAACTTGTTGATTACCTATGTTTCCATACATTCATGCATTTCCTCCTAACGGGAATGTGCAAGATATAATCACCCACAGAGAAGTTAAGAGAAATTGAAGGTGAGTTTTCCGGACAGGTAAATGCTCAGTGTTGAATTTGCTCCAGATCACCTGGTGGTGCTAATAGGAAGTTTTGATCTCCTACCTCTAAGCTGGTACCTTTCCCAGCTTTCTATTCCTTTTTCCTCCTCCAGGATGTCCGCAGGACGAAGGTGGCCGTGGCCAGAGGACCGCCAGGTGGAGAGGAGAGCTTGTTGACGGAGTCCACCGGGCTGTGTTTAGGCTCTCAGCTTTGGCTGCTGTGACGCCTCAGAGTGGGCGAAAGCTCTGGGATGGGGTGGTGTAGGGGGGGGGGGAAGGGCAGGAAGGAAAATCGTATTGTGCTCTCGCCACTTTACTCCCTTGGTTTAGGGACATGGATGCTGGAGGAAGCTCTGTCCACAAAGACCATGGACACTGAACTCAAGCGCCTGCTTCCCCAAGGTTTGCCTCTTTACCCACATTTGCCCTCCCGGCCGGTCAATCGTGCGCAGGCAGGGCGGCCTTGCGGCGCCCCCTGGTGGCGGGCAGCGGACGCCCCGGCCGTGCCACCCGCCGGCCGCACGCGCCGCCTGCTTCCCGCCGCCGCTGCAGGCGAGCTCGCAGGCAGCGGGCAGGTTTCGGGGATGCAGGAGGCGGAGCCGGGCTGGTGGGGGCGTCTCCGAGAAGCTTGCGGCCTTCGGCAGCTTCCCGGCCCGGGAAGTGAGCTGAGGTCGGGAGGCCGCAAACAGGAAGTCGGGTTGTAACAATGAACACGGGGGGGCAGGGAGCCCTGGACCTCCGGGGCGCCGGTGGCGGCAGGTGGAGCATTGACCCCGAGTAAGTGGGCCGCACCTGCCTCTTCCGCCGCCTCTCGGGGCTGCAGGCCCGCGCGGATCCGAGTAGGCTGAGGACTAGGCCGGCGTGGCCACGCGGGGAAGGCCACTGGAACCTCCCAGGAGCATCCCCTCCCCGGGAAGGGACAGTCACAGTTCTCTGAGTGAATCACTTCCATCCCCTTCCCGGAATGCAGCAGGGCCACGTGGGGCGGAGGCAGGGACCTCACGAGAGAGGTTGAGAGCGCTTCAGGGAGGGACCTACATGAGTTCTGTGAGTCTCCGTCAAAGGTGGAGGATAGGGTGGTTTTATTTGGTCTGTGATGGTGGATGGTGAGAGACTTTTTTCCTTCCTCCCACTCCCAATCTGATCGTGGTCCTGAAGCATGTGAGGGGACCTTCCCTGAGCAGAAGAAAGACCTATATCCCTTTTTCTACAGCCCTTTCCCCTACTCACCCTCTTCACAATAATAAAGGGGTTACCAGGCAGGGAGACCTCAAAACTGAAAGTCACTATGGGGCCGAATTTATTCTTTAGGCAGGGGAAAGCTCCAGGCTATTGAGGAACTGCTAAACTGAGTTTTTGTGAAATACCCAAGCGAGCAGTGGTAGCCTAACGGTGAGAAACTGCTGCTAAACCAAAGACCTGTGGTTCAAATCCACCAGCTTCTCTGCAGATGATGGAAGGGCAATCTCATCCCGTCCGATTTACTGCCTCTGAAAACCCGAGTTGGTTTAGACTCAGCACACAACCACCACCCACGCACCTAAACAAGGCACTTAGTAAGACAAGGAAAGAAGGAAAGCACTTTCAGTTGATCTAACGCCGTCCTCAGGCCTTGCTCCTGGCAAGCCTGGAACACTGGCCACTCGGGAAAAGTCCTGAGTGCCTTACCTATGAGAAAAGACTAGACGGTCAGGGAGGGACTGTCAGGAAATCCGAAGGAGAGGGAGGTTTCCACTGTGGCCTATTCACACTCCAAGTGCCTTGCCGGACCTAGCTTCTGTATTGATGGAGGAGGAACCTGGCATGAAGTACAAGTTGGAGCTGGCAGATGGATCCATGCATGGGTTCCCCCCTTTGCCCAGAAAGTTCCTTGGGCTCTCTCAGCTCACTGTGCAAGACATGAGCTCTGATGAGTGGGTTTAGCCAGCCGTGTCCTTGCAGGACTGTCCTCTGAGGAGCCAGCAGCCCGTGTAGTCCTGCACAGCCTGGTGATGTGGACGTGCAGGCCTGCGAGTGTCCTACCTGTCCCCCACATGGGAGCCTCGTCATCTCGCCTTGTGTCCAGGCCCAGTTTCCCCCGCCCCCCAGAGCCCGGGATCTGTTTTCCTGTTTCATTTTGGGCAGGAAGAGTGAGGTCGTGTTGTTCTTCCCCCTGCTGCCGGCTCAGGCTGTGGGAACAGTTCCCTGAATGTTTTCCTGTTTGATACCCTGTGTGTACAGCGAGGGGAACAGGGAGCGGTGAGGGAGGCGTGGAGTGTGTGCATGCGAGCAAGTGAAGATAAACATAGTCATTCGTACCCTTGTTGTCTGGCAAAAGCATCCAGGTCAGGGATAGGCATGGGGGGGGGGGGTGACAATAAAAAGTAGACAACAAATGGCACTCCATATACTTGGATTGCATTAGGAGGGAGGGGATCAGATGGATTTGTTTTTTTCTGTAGACAGAGGCAGTGCTATGAGCATCTGCTCAGCTTTTTATCAAGGGCTCTTTTTTTTCTCCCCCAGCACTTCTCCTCCATAAGGTATGTTTACAGCAGAAGAGAGACTATGGAACCCTAAGAGGCATCATACCTCTTCAGACTCGGGTCTTCATTGCCATCAAGTTGATTTTGATAGAGGGTTTCCAAAACTGATCTTAACTGAAGACACTACCCATCTTTCTCCTGCAGAGCTGCTGGCGGATTGTAACCACTGGAATCCCAAACTCTTTTGGAATTCATTATAGACTATACCACCAGAGCTCCTACCTCCTGGAGGATATTAAGTATGAGGGAGAGACTGGAAACTCCCTCAGTCAGAGTAGTAATGCCTCCATCAGCATCACATGGATTAAGGGACAGCTACCTGCTTCTCCTCTTCCACCTCTAATAAATTTCACAGCCCTAGCAGACAAAGTGCCTGGACTCTAGTTTCTCTCACTTAGGTTTAAGGATAAACCCAGGCCTAAGTGTCACCCCCACGGAGGCAAGCAACCTGCAAAGGCAAAAGGAAGGATCCAGCTATCACCATGGTTCAGAGATCTCATTCTCCCACAAGAGCATCCTAGCAAGGGGAATTTGGGTAGCACTGCTTGCTTCATCCAAACACCTATAGCTCCCAGACTCACTATGGAGACCCATAAGCTTGAGAACAGGGTGGGATGTAGGGTGAGATCAGGGGGACTAACCCTCCAATGAAGGTTGGGAGAATGATGTGGTTGTTGTTATGTGCCTTCGAGGTGCTTGCGACTCATAGCGACCCTATGTACAACAGCCCTAAACCCTGCTCTGTCCTGTGCCAATCACATTGTCTCTGATACACCCATCCCAATTACCCCAGTCACTGAATCAATCCACCTCATAGAGGGCCTTCCCCTCCTGCGCCATCCCTCCACCCTCCCAAGCATGATGTCCCTCTCCAAGGACTGGTCCCTCCTTACAACATGTCCAAAATATGTCAGATGAAGCCCCAGAATCCTTGCCTCCAAGGAGCAGTCTGGTTTAACCCTCTCTAGGATAAATCTGTCAAAACCATCAGTAAAGTAGGCGGACCTAGGCTGGGGACTCGATGAGCAAGGTTGGACTCCCCAATGACCTCAAAGTCATCAAGGTCTGTGGAGCAAACCCCCAAGATTGTACACAGGTACTGAGGGTTCTGAGGGCACCCAACACTATGAGGAGACAGGCTTGATGTCAGAGAGAACATTCCCAGTCTGCCATCACAAAGACAGGACCCAAGAAGTAATAAACTCCTGTACACATCTGTTCCATATTATAAATACACATTATATACAAAATAATGTTATAAAATGTAGAAAGTCAGTGCTTCTGGTTCTTAAATTATTGAAGTACTAGACTCCAAAATAAACTACAAAAAAAACCCCAAAATAAAAACTCATATTATTGATTTCTGAAGGTCAGCTTCAAAGATGGTCTGGGGGCGGTAGTGGGCATGAGCAGAGAGCCCAGGCTTGAGGCCAGCGAGATTGGTTTGAGGGAAGAAAGGGCCCAAGTGGCAGCATCACCCATTTCTCCCTCATTGGGATTCCCAGCATCCCTCTCCTGACTGGCATGGAGGGCAGGTCCTCCACCTGTTCCAGGATCCCAGAAGCACCCAGTCCCAGAGGCTAAGGGAAACTCGATAAGGCTTACCAATCTTTTTGCCCAGAGGACCTGAGCCAGGGAGGGATGCTGGGATGGTGTTATGAGCAAGGCCCACATGCAGTAGTTGGAGGCACGGGGCAAAAAGTGCTCCTCTCCCTTCGGGCACTCATCTCACCGGCAGAGCAACCCCACCAAGAGCCACACACAGTGGTGTTCTGGCCTCTAAGGGGCCCTGCCCTTATGCGGCCCCCTCTCTCCTGATTTCGGCCCAGCTGTCACCAGGGAACCTGGGCCAAAGGCACCTTTGGAAACATAGATGCCAGTGGAGATCACAGCAGCTCTGGGCTTTCAGAGCCCACTGCCACTGGAAAAGAGGTCAAAGCCCCAGAAGGAGCTCCCTGAAGGACACTGCTGCCAGGGCAGGTCCAAGTGGCACCTCTCTTCTCCTTTGTTCCTCTGGCTGGTGCGGCTGCCAGTCTGATGCTAGACAGACACCCAAAGGTGTGGAAGGGTATTGCATCTCTTGGCAAGTTCACAGTCTGTCCAGTTCATGCCGTTTCCTCCTCCTCCTGAGAGCAGCACGTTGCATATTAAAAACGTCCCATCCAGGTTGCAATGTAAACAACGCAGAAGGAAGGTCCAGCTACTGGGCTGACAACGGGATGTTCTGGTGAGGCTCCTGCCTTATACCTGCAGTTTGTGGAGATCCAAGAAGTGGGTTACCTCGTGGCAAGCACCCTCTTTGTAGCTCCCCTGAGGGTCTCCCTGGGAGAAGTCACTGAGCCAGGCAATATGGAGGGAAGACAGGGCAGCCATTGGTGGTCTCTCCTGCCCCAACACATGCATATCCTTAGGAACCTGTACTTGATGAGGTGAACCAATGGAGAAAGCCAGGGGGATGGGGCAGGGGAGGTACAAGGCAACCACCATCATGCACCAACAGCTGGGAAGCAGTGACTGGGGGCTGGCCAGGTGCCACAGCCAGCCCAGCACAGCACAAACCCGGCAGGAAGAGGCCAGGCCAGGTTCACCACCACGGCTCCTGTTTCACACCCTCTGTGGCAACGAGGCCAGCAGGGACCCGGGAGTCCTTGGCCTGCCAAGGAGAGGCTCTAGCCCTATCCCTCTGGAACAACCCCTCAAGTCCCCACCATTGGGCTGGGAGTACTCAAGCTACTTCCCCATCCCCGAAAGGATGGAGAGGAACAAGTTGGAAGGGAAGGTGAGTCCAGCACTCACCTCTGTGGCAATGACACATTCGTTCCTCTCCTCTGATATCAAACACACAGACTGGTACATGGAGTCCCTGGGGGAGCATATCGCTGATATCCGACACTCTGGCTTTTCACTGAGGGAACACAAGACAGGCAAGTGAGACAGGGATGGTGGAGAGGGGAGGAGAAGGGAGGTGGGGTGGGAATGCAGGCCATGGGTTCCTAGGGCACTTGCAGAGAAGACCTGGAGATAAGACACAGAGACTAGGTAGAGCAGGCAGGACAGGTCCCTAAGAGAGACCCAGGACTCTCAACTTTACCAAAAAGGGTCCTGAGCCTGAAAAATAGTTAGCATTACAACTAGGGGATGTATGAGGTAAGATTAAAGTCACTGAGACATGCTGTGGACACTTGACATAAATGAATGAATGAATGCACTGGAGAGGGAGCAGGAGAGAAAGAATTCCTGACAATAACAAAAACCTCATCTTTGTCTCAATACACTGAAGGGCCTGGTGTCAGCCTCCTCTCAGTGTCCCTGGAGGAATCCCGAGGAGCCACCCACACAGGGGTCCATGGCCAAGCCCAGGACATCAAGGTTGTGCTCACCTGTGTAACCGCAGTGGCACCTTCTCCCCTAAGCTCTTGTCACTGTGAGAGTACTTCCCTGGCATGGTCCCATGCCCCAGCAGTCCTGGGGCCAGATTATAGTCCAAGGTATGGTTCTGCTGCTTGCCACAGTTGGACTTGTCTAGACCACAGTCTACTTCTAGCTCCTTCTTCTGGTTTGTGTTTTTGAGTTGGGCGGCGGGGATCAGGTTGTCCTTCTGGAAGTCCGACAAGTTGTTCATGGCTTCCCTGCTGTCATCATCTGGCCGCCGGAACCGCAGCTGCCGCACAGCCACTGCCACCATGCCCAGCAACATCAGTACCACGACCAGACCCACACCCAGGGAGACAGCCACCCAGGGGAAGCTGGACTGCACGTCCAGAGGGATCTCGCAGCGGCTGCCCAGAAAGCCATACGGGCAGTTACAGACGAAGTTGTCTGGAGAGAGGCTGGGATAGCAGGTGGCGCCGTTGAAGCAGGGCCCTGAGGTACAGGCATCACTGGGTGTCCGCACTTCGCAGCGCTGGCCTGAGAAGCCAGGAGGGCAGGTACACAAGACCCCATTCTCCAGGTCATGGCAAGTGCCACCATGGGCACAAGGGTTGCGGGCACAATTGCTGATGGGCAGTTCACAGTAGGCCCCTGTGAATCCAGGGCGGCAACGGCACAGGCGGCTGGGGCCTCGGTTCAGACACTGACCCCCTGCAGGGACATGGAGCAAATCAGCAAAGATCTTGGACCCTGAGTGCAGGCAAGTAGAGTGCCCCATCCCGGGAGCGAGTTGCTGGCCTTCTGCCTCCTCGAATACAGCCAGTATTTACCAAGCCCACTGCATGGAGCCAGGCGCAGGGATAAAAATGACCAGCATCTTAGAAGTAGAATCCAACAGATGGGCTTGGATTTGAATCTCAGTACCGTCTCTCTTTAGCTGGGCATCTGGCATCTGTGGCTTTATCGGATCTACTAGCCTCAGTTTCCTCATTTATTAAGTTGGGGTCTATCCCTTCCTGGGATTGCTCTGAGTGTTCACACAGGATAACGCATGTACGCAGGAGCACAGGTTTGGTACACAATAAATGCCCAAATACATATAATTATTTGTTATTATTTCATTTAATTAATTTCATAACCACACGAAATATCAAGGGCAGATATTATATTTCCCCATTTAGCAATGAAGAAACTGTCTCCAGAGAGGGTAGTAATTAGTAAGAGAGCAAACTTCTGTACACTTTCTTCTCCCCATCCTTCCAACCTCTCTCTAGCCCCTGAGGCATCTCTCTGAGCTGAAGCTATCTCACCTGCCTCAAGGGGTGGCACCAGGAGGCCAAACAGACAATATGTTCTGTACCCCAAAAGGTGCTGGATACTCTAAATGCCTTGTGCCATGCCAGGCTCTCTGTGGCTGGGAGACCAGATGAGGCATTCAGGAACAAGCTCTGACTGGTAGCTCCCCTCCAGGATGGATATGGAACCTCCGATCCCCCTTTCTACTTCAGCACTTCCTGACTAATGGTATGGAAGCCAAGCAGCATGAACCCTGAGCTTTCTCATAATGCCCACTGCTAACTTGTCCCCCTTCTAAAGCCCTCCTGCTGGCCAAGCAAACTCTTCACCCTCCTGATTGATTAGATGGAGACCCATCTCAGACTGCCAGAACAACAGCCGCCCTCTACGTTGTCCCCTGACCCTCCCTCACCACAAAGTTCTATTAGTCCGATTGCAGGTCCGCCCTGGCAAGGGACCGGGACGTACCATTGGCACACGGGTTGCTGGTGCACCTGTCCACTTTCTTCTCACAGTTGGAGCCAGTGAAGTTAGGGGGGCATTCACAGGCATAGCTGGCTCCCTGGTTTCGCTCTCGACAAGAACCTCCGTTGAAGCAGGGGGAGTCAGTGCAACTCAAGGTGCTATGTTCACAGTGTGAGCCATAGTAGCCTGGGGGACACAGGCAGAGGTAGCCGCCCTCTTGGTCCTGGAGAAAGGCCATAAGGGGGGCCAAAGTCAGGTTCTGAGAGTAGAGATGGGTAGCTGCTCAGTGTCTGCCATTGCTGCACACCCACTGGCTGCCTGGGTTGGGGGGTGTTTGGGCATCACCTGGCCAGACCTCTGGCTCACCTTACAGCTGCCTCCATTACGACAGGGGTTGCTGTCACACTTGCTGAGCTCCAGCTCACAGTCCACGCCAGTATAGCCTGGGCGGCAGGTGCAGGTATAGCTCCGCTGTCCACTGTTGGAGCACGTTGCCCCGTTTTTGCAGGGGGAGTGGTGGGTGCAGTAGTTGAGGTCTGGGGAGACAGGAACCAGGCAGCTGAGCAGGGCTGAGAATACTCCCCACCAAGGTTCCCCATGATGAAAGCAAGTTCACTTCATGTTTGACCCAAACGGGTTCTGACTCCAAGTCTCCCAGGCCCAAATACCCTTCCTTCTCCCACAATGAAATGCATGTGGAAGCACCAAGAACCACCTCTGACCAGTAGGAAGTTCATTAAGGTTCAAAGAACTAGCAATTCCGCAATTGCCTGCCTTGTGAGCTCCGAAATGCTCCCAAACAACCAGGAAAAGATAAAGGTAAGGACTAAGATGAACGATGAGGAGAGGGAAGGCACGGCCCTGACCTAGTAGAGGAGGAAATCAGAAAAAGCTGCACAGAAGAGAGGCAGCAGAGGTAAGCCTAGGAGGAGAGATAGCAGTTTAACAGGTGGAAGCTGGAGAGAAGGCATTCTGAATGGAGGAGAGAACACCTTTAGAAGTCATCAGGCAATTTTAAAAGAAAGAACTATTGAGTGTATTTTGAAACGTAATTACTTGTTTTCTGCATTGAGAAGGACAGGGAGGGGTAACCAGACAAGACAAATACAGGGACTCTAAGAGCTGTGTTCGCATGTGACAAATCCGACTGACTGTCACCTGGGAGCAAATGTGGTGGCAAAGGAGAATGGGCAGGAACCAAGTGCTTGTGTGGAGGAGGAGGTAAGGGGCATGGACAGACGGACACATAAGATGCACAGACCTACACCCCAAAAAGAGGAGAAGAGCAGAATTTGCCCTAAAGCAAAGTTTAGAAGTCAGGGAGCAATGGATAAGATGGGCAAATAGAAACAGGCACCCCAAAGAGGAAAAGGGAAGGGTGCTATTATATTGAGATGTGACAAATAACACAAAACAAAATGTGTATATAATGTTGGGTGGAAAACTACCTTACTTTGTAAACTTTGACCCAAACTACAATAAAATGTTGAAAAAAATGGCTCCCCATCCTGCACAACCAGAGAGTGACCAACCAGGTGCCTGTCCCCTCCCCACCACCAGGAAAAACCAGTATGGGCTCAGGCAGCCACCTGGCCAGTGCAACTGAGGCTGTATGTGCCCACAGCAAGAAGGCGGTTAGAAGTCACTCCGCCCAGAGGCCTAGCAGGCCCGTAGCCTCATGGCAGCCAGAGGGCACACCCATCAGACAGCTGTTTGGGAGAGAGCTGCTCAAACAGCGCCCGCAGGTAAGCAAACATTTAGGGGGTTAATAGGTAACTATGAGGTAGAAAGAGGAACTGAGCCTGGCATCCCTCTCTTTGACCTAGCTGGAATTTATGAGTGCAACCTCCAGGTTGCCAAACTGTCACCCTCCTGGCTCCTCTAGTCAGCCTTGCTCCCTAGCATCAGGAGGATCTGCTTCATAAAAACTCCACTTAAATCAAGTTGTTTCCAACTCAGAGTGACCCTGCATTGGGTCCCAGGCTGGAGGTCTTTACAGAGAAGACTGGCTATTTTTCTCCCAAAGAGACACTGATGGATTAAAACTGCTGACCTTTTTTGGTTTGTAGGCAGCTATAATATACTCTATACCACCAAGATTCCTTAGCACCAGGAAAAGGACGCGCAACCTCATGTTAGGTTAGTTGTAAAGATCTGAAAAGCCCAAAGATGCCTGAGGGAGCATGGGAGAGCCAAGTCAAACCCCTCAGTAAGAAGGGTCAATAGACAATTCCATGACCTCATCTCATCTGCCCCTCTGCAGTCCTCACTTTGCCCTGGCTTACCTTGGTCACAGAACAGGCCTCCCCAGCCCTCATCACAGGTGCACTGCCAGGGTGTGCTGCAGGTGCCATGGTGACAGCCATTGTGGGGGATGCATTCATTGCAGAGGCGGCCCTGCCAGCCTGGGCGACAACTGAGAGAGAAAAGAGAAGCTGAGGGTGAGGTGAAAGGCTCCACTAGAGAGAGGTAGGATCCCCACCACCACCTCAAATCCCCTACTCACAGACACTCTGCAGGCTTGAGGCAGTAGCCATTCTGCTCATTACAGCCAGAAAGACAGATTGCTAAAGAAAGAAAACACAGTTTGGGTGTGGTGAGATGCCAGGAACTCTGAAGACCTGTCTTCTCTCTCCTGAGCCGAGGAGTGCCTTCAGCTCACCTTCCCACTCCTGGCCTACCAGAGGAATCATTCCCATGTTCAAGGGAGACGATGACACAGAGAAGGAGAATAAAGGCTGAATGGAATGCAATTATTGGAGGTGTCCCTGTGCAGGTCTGAGGCCAGTCCCATCCTAAGCATTCGTAGGTGTCCCTGAGGCCTAACTAGTGGGCTGCCCACGCCTGCTCTATAAGGGAGCAGGTTGTGGCCCAGAAGATGGTACTACCTGCTCAGGTGACCTTACACCCCATCCCCACCCAATGTAGCCGGGAACTTGGCCACTTACGCTTATCACAGTACTTTCCCGTCCAGCCGGGCAGACAGGACAGGCTGCCGTCTGGCTGACACACGTAGTGGCCGAAGTGGTCATCGCGCTTTTTGCACAGGCGTGAGCAGCTGTCTCCATAGTAGTTGTCACTGCAGATGACCCGGTAAGAATAGCGTAGTCTTGTTGGGGGGCTGGTCTGCTCATCCAGTAACCAGTTCTCACCCACAGCTAGGGACCTCTGAATGGTGATCTTGCTGATGAGCGAGTCTGCTGGCAAGGCCTCTGAGGGGGCAGAGGGCCAGATTAGGGATGTATAGGCAATCCCCAAGGGTGCCAGTGACTGCTGGCCAGTGCCCATCTTGCAGTGATCAGCCACCAAAACGAGCTGTTTGTCCAGAAAGCCCTCACTTGCTGTTAAGGACCAGGTCACAGGTATCCAGGTCCAGGTCTCCTGGCTGTTTAGCAGCTGTGTGTGTGACCCTGTGCTCATGTGCATGGAGACCTGATACCATTCAAAAAGGGACAATAGGAGGATGTTAAGATATCCCAGTACTATGAAGGACGATAGGGAGGGGAAAAGAAAAGATCAAGATGAGGGAGAGGGGAAAAAAAAGGTTCTAGGTTCTGGAGGACCCTGGAAGTAGGTGGTCTCTTGGTGCTTCTCCAAGGGTTGTGCCCCCAAAGATGGGTAATGGTATTCTTTTTCCTTTTCAAAGTGAGAATTGTTGTGCTGCTGAAATATCCTTTTCCTCTGTGTCAGAACAACATCCCAAAGCCATTATTCCCTTTCCAAAGGAGCGGAATTCACGAAAGGTGTAAAATACAGGAAGGGGCCCGTCAGCGGCGCTGGCAGCTTCAGCCTTTCTCACCGCCGTGCTCCCCGCGTTCCCACGCCAAAAATAACCCGCAGGAAACGCAATTGTGCTCGAGTCCAGGCAGCGGGCGGAATCGCAGCGTCCAGCGCGGGGCGCAGCTCCCGGCTGAGCTCAGCGTCCCACCCCCACCCCGAGCCCCGCGCTTCCCCCGCCCCTGGTTAACTCTTTCAGCGCTGCGCCGTGTCGCCCCCCTGTGGCGGTGGGATGAGCTACTCACCTGGCCGCAGGTCGTCTCCAGGCGCGTGCCAAGCTTCAATGATGAGGGAGAAAGTACCCTGGGGGTGGGGGTGGGGGTGGGGGGCAGGGAGGGGAGAGAGAGCGCGAGATGAGCTGGGGGAAGGATGGGGGGGGGCGCTGCCTGCCAGTAGCCAGTTTAATTAACCTAATTGCAGGATACAATTTCAGAGGCCGGGTCAACATAACGGGTCTGTGCGCAGCGCCCAGCGCGCAAGGACGCAAGAGAAGAAACCGAAGCGGGGGAGGGTTTGAAGCGAGTGTATGTGAGAGTCACTTGGTGGGAGGGAGGAAGAGGGCGCTGGGGTGGTAGGTGATGAAAATTGGGTCCTAAGAGTCCTAAGAAGGGAGAGCGTAAAACTGGGACAAGAAAGACTTTGGTGAGAGCTTTCTTAAGTGCAAAGGAATCGATAAGAAATCAGGAGGCAGTGTGCCTTCGGGGAGTTGGGAGATAGAGAAAATTTGGGATGGAAGTTTTGATCTCAGAACGCCCCCTCCGTCCTCTCCCCCTCCCAATAAGCTCAGGTTGTGCTCACCGGCCAGGTAAAATTGAAAGGCAGTTGGAGAGGATTGCGGCCTCCGCCGCTACTGTCGTCCGCGACCGCGAAGGAGTTGGTGCCCAGCACCGGAGTAGAGACGCTGCCAAAGGTGCAGGGCCCGGGAGACACAACTGCCTGGAAGTGCTTAAGGCAGACGCGGAAGAAGGTCCGGCAGCCGGGCTCGCAAGACCGCCCGCTGGCGAGGACGCCCTGCTCGTTAGCGAACTCTTGTAGCTGCAGCTGGAAGACTCCGGAGCCGGTCGCGCGCTATTGGAGAGACGGGGAGAAGCAGAGAGGGGAGGGTCAGCTCGGTGGTGCCCAGGGTGCAGGCTCCGAGGGCGGTGGGAGAGGTTGCGGGACGTTACCTGCTGCCAAAGTGCCACGAGCAGCAGCAAAACCCAGCCAGAGGCGCTCCGGGTCGCGGCTGCCATCCCCAGGGGCGTCTCTCGCTCCACCCGCGGGCCCTGAAGCCGGCTTTGCTCTGGACGCTGCTTTCCCTCGCGTCCGCGTACAGGAGGCGTCCCTGAAAAGCTGGGCTTCGCTTGGACGCTGCTCACCCCCCGCCCCGCGCCTTCTAGCTCTGCTCCAGCTGCCGTGGTAAGTAATCCAGGTGAGAGCTGGTGGGCGGCGGCCGCGCTGAGGACGTGTCCTCCGACTAATCCTGGGGCTGCAAGGCAGCCAGTGCCCTGGCTACACTGCACCCAAGTGGTTTGGGCTGTAGCTCTCGGCTTCGTACTCTCGGCCTGCGTGCAGCGCCGCTACTGAAACCTGTGCGCTCCAGAGCCTTCCTTATATATATTGGCTGAAATCCTCTCGGCCTGTCACTCAGAATCATGGTCACTCTCTCTCCCCTCCCCTCCAGGCCTCTAGCCGCTGCAGCCCAGCGCCGCCCGGAGGGGGCCTCCGCCCTCACCCACCCCCCTCCCTCCCTGCTTGCCAGTCCAGCGCAGGTCCCCGCCCCTCAATGCTGTTCTCAGCTCTTGAGCCCGCAAGTCTGCCCCGGCTGAGGCTACCAGTGCTCAGTGATTGTCGGGTTGCTGGCCAAGACCCTGACCCTAGGAGAATAAAGCCAGCGCCGAGACGTGGGGAGGGAGGTGAGCGGGGGTTCCCGGATGGTCAAGGGGGCGGAGACACTGGGGAGTCCCCGTAGGCGGTGCGTCCTCAGTCGGCGCTGGTTACCTGCAGCCCTCGTTCAGGTAAAAAGAACTCAAGCCCGGAAAGCGAAACTAGCGCCAAAGGACTCCAGTCTCCTTCCCGGAGCTTCGGGAGTTCACGTCTCGAAGGACTACAAACTGGGAGCGCCATTCGCCGTGCATCCTCAGCGCGGCAGGGAAGCCAGCGGGCACCTTAACATCTCCGTAGCTACTTTGGCCAAGACGAGAAGCCAAGTTCCCGGCCTCAGGGGCTGCCTCTCTCCACCTGGTGGGGGTATCTCTCCCTAGCTACGGGGGGGTGCGTGCCCAACGCGTGCCTTCTTGCTTTTTCTGGCCCTGCGGAGGCTAGGCGCGTGCCAAACCCCAGGCGCGTGGTCCCCAAGGTGGGGGAGGGGCAGGCGTCTTCAGCTGTATGGTAATGAGGGCTGGCCCCGCCCCCAGCATCTCCCCTCACCTGGGTCCTGCTTCGGTTCCAGTGCGCATCTCCCCCCGACCCCTGCAGCCCCAGCATCCCCCCTCCTCGCGTCCTGTAGCTCCGATGGGGCAGAGAGGAACTCTCCTGGTTCCAGACTTGGCTCAGGCCACTGAAGGGTCAAGGTGAGAGGCTGAGGCCCAGTAGGCGTGGGTCCTCTCCTCTCGGGGAGGGATGTGGGTGGAACTGGAAGCGTGCGGACTTGTTTGAGTTTCTGGCAGCTTCACTCGTCTTACGACTCCCCCAGGCGGCCCCACTCCTCCAGCGACGCAGCTGCTTTCCGGGAACCTGGAGAGATCCCCGGAGGTCGCAGAGTGGGGAGGGCTGGTTTCTCCCAGTCTCGGGGGTGCTGTGGAGCTCTCCCTCTGAGACGCCAAGGGCGGAGGGGCCGTGTGGCTTCAGCTGTCAGCCTGCCCGCGTGGTGATAGCTATCTTTGGGCGATAAGATCGGCGGGGGGCAGGGGGGCAGGAGCGAGGACGCGGCGCGGGCCCCGGAGAGACCATGGGGTGTGGGGACATTGCACTGAGCTCAACAGCTGCCTTTGCCGAACGTGGTCTGATTACCCCCCCCCTTTTATGGGGTGGTTTGTAGGATTGGGGGAAAAGATGAGAAACAAGGGGCTGGGAGCGTGGATTGGGGGGAGGGGTATGAGGTAAGGAGACGGGCTCCGGGGTCCCCCACGCACGGCCACCCCTCCCAGCCACCATCTGGCGCGAGCTGGTTGGCGTGGGGAACCGAGGTGGGGCGGGGGCCGGCAGATGGACCCAGGCTGCGCTCCTGAGTTTATGTAGGTTATGGGCAGGCAGTCCTCAGGCTTTAGGGAGGGGGAGCCTCCCAGCGATGCTGGCAAGTGGGCTCCCAGATCCATTCTCCCCGCGTCTGAGCAGCCCTAGACCTCTCTGTGATGCCAAAGGATGCTCCCTATTCTCTAAGATGGCACGCAGCCCTGCCTAGCTCTCACTCCCAAATCCTGGCCTGGGAGTTCTTAAAAACTCACACCTTTATCAGTGCTGGCACCTGCTTGACCTTCAGGGGAGACAGAGTCCCACATGAGGCATCTTGCTCAAACTGGCAAAGGTGAAACGCACTTCTCCTTATACCACTGGGACTAATGCGCTTCAAAGCACGTTACCAGTGTAGCAAAGCTCCAAACCGAAGCAGGTATCATGTTTGAATCTCAAAGAGCTAGAAAGCCTCTGACCAGGATGGAAAGAGTTACGTTCATTCTCATCTTCCTCCTCTTCAGGTACCCGGTAGCATGGGGCGCTCCCCCGATTCTCTGTCCTCTCAGACGCGCTACCCTCAATCTCACCAGCGCTCCCATCTGCTGGGGTCAGACTTGACTTTCTGGGCAAAGGGTTGCGCACCTGGCAGACAAAGGAGGACAGGGGTGTGCAAAGACCCCTTGGTATTTCTAACCGCCCAGTAGCTGAGCTTCACCCTTCTCCCACTTCTGACTTGAAATGTGAAGACCCCCACATACGTCCTAGCAGTTGGTAGGAATCTGCATTGCCAGCCTGACCCGTGGAGTTGGAACCTCATGGTGGACGCCTATTGCCCTCAGTGCAGACTCTTGGCGCCGCTCTGCAGAACGAAACAAGCCGGGTCAGGGCTCCTAGAGGCTGTGCGCTCTGGGCGGGGCCTCGGGTTCCTCCCCACGACCGGCATCCCCAACCCTGCCCTGCTTCGGGACCGTCAGGGAGGACTGACTTAATGCAAGCCTGCAGCTTTCCACTCCTGAGGCCTTCAGCTTCTGCCGCCCTCCCGGGAGCTCAAATACTGCCTTCCAGCCATGCACTCGAGTTGATCCCAGGTTATTGGGGTGCAACAGGATCCGTGTGGAGACTCCCGGCTCTGGATAACTTAACTCGCCCTCGCCGAGGCTGCCAGCCCAACTCTTAGCCCTTCTGCACGGTTATGCTCCCTCCAGCCCCCACCCTTGGGCTGCGCGGTCCGTCCGGCAGACTCCTATTTGGAAAACGCGCCTTCGCGCAGCAGAGTAGGAGCGCGGTGGGGCCTGGTCACTGCACCGGGCTGGGCAGGCTGGGGGCGGAGAAGCCGACCTGGCTGGGGCGGGGCGCTTAAGCCTTCAGGGGCACCGCTGCGGTCGCTGCGGAGAAGGGGCCACGTGCAGAGAGCCGCGGCCCCAGAGCTGCACAGAAGGCGGGGAGATTTGCAAACTGTTGCTGCCACATGGCTGCTCCATTCGATCCATTCACATTGAAATGAGGCCGGCGCGTGCCTCATCTGCCGCAGGGCGCTGCCACGCGTCAGCCCGGCCCGCCGCGTGCCAACTGGGGCAGGCCCTGCAAGCATTGGGGGCCTAGCCAAGATCCTGCGGCCAGGGGCATGGAGGGGGCAAGGGGAACTGAGGCCCCCAGGCCATTCAGGCGCCGCGGGTTCGCAGGCCTTGGCCCTGACAATTGTGAATGAGCTGGTGAGAAAAGGCCAGGTTCGGAGGGAGGCTGGGATCGATGCCGCCTCTCCCAGCAGATGCGTCCCGCAGCGCTACCCTCTATCAGGCGCTGCTCGCACCTGCCGGTCAATAAATCGATTTTACAATTTAATGCAGCAGCTTCCCGCCCGCCTAGGACAGATGCCGCAGCAGAACCACCTCCGCCCAAGCCCCTCCCTTCGAGGGGAGCCAGCGGTTAGGCAGGGATTCCCGCTCCGCAAGCTGCGCCCTGAGGTGGGGGTGGGGAGGGTTTGTCACCTCTCTCTGGAGCCTCTACAAGGAATTGCCGCCTGCGGTTTTTCCCGAGCCTGAGACTGGTGGCTAGAAGATGATGATTTGATGGTAGCCTGCGGACTCACTGGGGGACTTCAAGGGAGAAACAGGATGCAGTGGCTGATAAGATGTGAAGGTTCATGTGAGAAGGAACAAAGGATGGGCCATGGACACTGGGAGATGCTAAGGGCTGAAGAAGTCCCACGACTGGGGCACTGATCAGAGATAGGTAGAATGAGGGTAGGATGGGTCTTACTGACTCTCAGTGTGAATTAATTACTGAGTGTGGGACAGAGTTGGTTCTTGGCATTTCCTAATTTTGTAGTCTTGGATTTGCCATTTAACATTAACTCTACACCTCTTGTTTTCTCATCTTTGCAATGGGGGAAATGGGAGCCACCTGAAAAGGTGATTGGGGAGATTGCATCAGGCTCTGCATTTAAGAAGCTAATCATGATCGAGTTCCTTTACTCCAGGCAATAGCAAGAGGCAGCTTTAGGGTGGATCCAGAGATCCATGACGTAAAACTGAGTGCCAGGAGGAAAGGAGGGGAAGAACCAGCCAAAGGTAGAGAGAGTCATATGGAAGGAGGCATGAGAAGTAGAGGTGGGGGAAAGAGGAAAGATAGGTGGGGCATGGAAAGAGATGGACTCTTGAGAAGATGCATGGGGGAAAAAAGATGCGTGGGAGAAAATGCAACTGTGAGGGCCTTCTGGGGATGGGGGTGGGCACAAGGTCCTTTTCTGAAGGAAGAAGCCTGGGGCTGCAAGCATGGATTTGAAAAAGAGGTTGGAGGAACCAAATGTGCCTGGTCTTGATCTTCCAGAGATGACTCTGCAGCCAGGATCACATATAGGTGACATACCATTTTCCTTATAGATAGAAAAGATAACTCTGGTTGTTGATGTTCCTTCCTTTTGGATCAGGGAAACTCAGTCCTTCCCATGTCACCAAGGGACTGTACCATACCAGGTATACATCCTGGGCTGTAATGTCCTCTAGATTCATGATGATTCACGATGCTGACCCACACAGCACAGGGAAATGAGGTCTGAAAGGGCAGGACTTCTGGGCATGAGTCAAGAGTGCCTGCCTCGCCACCTCAAGAGACCAGGAGGACTTCCTACCTCTCTGCTCTCCCAGATTTCCAGGGCCCTGAGATCCTACACTAGCACTACATAGTCTGTTTCCTTTGCCTTTCAGAAAACTCAATGCAGGTGGTGCCTGGACCTCTTCTGCAGAGGACATGGGCCCAAGAGAAGAGAAATTGAGAACTTTTGACCTTCTGTGATTTGTGTTGGGCAGAGAGTTCTGCCTTGGCCTCCTGGCTTAGGAGAGGGGAGGGGAAAGCCAGGGCAGGGTGGAAGCTGGCTGGAGAGGCTAAGACAGTTCTAGCTGCAAAGGCTCACG